CACACACACACACACACACACACACACACACACACACACACACACACGCATTAGGTTCTCCAAAATTCTCAGTGGCATCAATAACGGCTCTCAGTTATTGACCAGCAACTACATGCCAGATACAGAGCTAAATGCTTTACATATACTATGCTCTAAATGGATTATTTTATTTATTTCACATAACATTATGAGGTATATTATACTCCATAGTTAATAGAAGAGAATAATGGAGGCTCAATATGTATGTTCAGGTACCATTGCTAACATCCCAAAGCTAATAAATAAAACTCAAATATGAAGCAGACACATGACTCCGAAAACCTTGGATTCTTGTAATGGTTAGTATGTTCAATTTTTATGGGATTAAAAAAATGCAAGAGAGAAGCTTCAGAACACACTTGGAAAGCCTTATCTAGATTAGGTTAGTCTCTAAAAATATCTGTGAGGGATTTTCCGGATTAGAATAATTGCATCAGAAAACCGACTCTAAACATGGGCAACACCAGGCCTTGGGTCCTAGATTTAATAAAAAAAAGAGAAATGGAACTCTGTACTCGTGTTCATTTCTCTCTGCTTCCTGTGAATGCAATGTGACCAGCTGCCTCAAGCACTTGTAGTCCTTCCATTTATATCAGAATGAACTGTACCACCAAATGGTGAGTGAGACTAAACCTTCTTCCTCTAAGTTTCTTTTCAGATATTAAGTCATAACAATGATAAAAATGAGTAATACAATTTATGAGCCTTGAAAGCTGAGACAGGACCAATACGAAATGAAGGCCCAAATGTCTTATTCTAGAGTAGAAACAAATGTCCTTATTTAGCCCTTTATTTTCCCCTTTGGACATAGACTGTTCAGTGTTCAGGGTGATACCTGGAGCTGCAAATCAAGTGACACTTCAGGGAAGTCTTGGGCTTTCTTCATGAGCTCTAGAATAATTTCCATCTCTCTTAAGTATCTTATTTACTTTTCTATCACTGTGATAAGACACATGATCAAGGCTTACAGTTTCAGAAAGTGAGCCCATGACCATCATAATGGGGAGCATAGCAGCAGATAAGCAGGCATGGTACTGAAGCAGTAGCTGAGATCTTGTATCCACAAGTAATGGAAGAAAGAAAGTAAGGGAGGGAGAGAGGAAGGGAGATAAAGAGGGATAGAAAGAGAGAAGTAACTGGCAATTGGCAATGGTGGGCTTTTGAACCCTCAAATTCCACCCCCAAGTGACACATATCCTTCAAAAAGACCACACCTCCTACTACTTCAAAGATATTTCCACCAAATGGGAACTAAGAATTCATATACATGAGCCTTGGGGAGGGGGTACATTGTCATTCAAACTATAACACCTAGGTAATTGATTCCTACTTGGGGGAAATGTACTGTATTGCCTTTCTCTATCATTAAAAGCCCGTTATGGAAATTTGGATCCTGTGCATAATCAATGTAAAATCTAACATTTTAACTCTCCTTTCCAATCTAACTGGACTTGTACAAATTTTTCCAGTGAAACAGAGTATGTACAACTCAAGACCAAGTAGGGCATGGCATACACTGTGTTATTATCTTCTGGAGCAACTATTCCTTCCTAACAAGAGACTTACACTAAGACCCAAAGACTTCTGTCTCAAAGGCTCCAAACAGTATTAGTCCCAGATCCTAAAGTATTGCCACTTCCTCTCACACTACCACAATTCTCAGCTTCAAAAATGGAAATGCTGGAACCCCTGCACAGGTGTAGCCCATGGCAGTTCAGTGTCCAAGTGGGTTCCATAGTAATGGAAAGAGGGACTGCCTCTGACATAATCTGATTGGCCTGCTCTTTGATCACCTCCCCCTGAGGGGGGAGCAGCCTTACCAGGCTGCACAGTAGAGGACAATGCAGCCAGTTTTGATGAGAACTGATAGACTAAGATCAGAAAGAAGAGGAGAACCTCCCCTATCAGTGGACTTGGGGAGTGACATGCATGCAGAAAGGGGAGGGAGGGTGGGGTCAGAAGGGGAGGAGGGAGGGGCTTATGGGGGAATACAAAATGAATAAAGTGTAATTAATAAAAAAATTAAAAAAAAAAAGAAAAAAATGGAAATGCAAAAAGTACAGTGGCCACAATAAACCAATGGAATTTCAATATCACTTTCCTATCTCCTTCAACAAAAGTTAATAAAAGTTAATTTGCTAAGTCACCATCTCTGTAGCTTTATCCAATTCATGTTCCACAGGCTTATAAGTAACCCCCAGGATAGCTATGAATGAAGCCAAATACAAACTGTGAACTTGCTTAACTTTTTAAATTCAATATTGCATTTCTCAGGTGTGACTTTTATGGATGAAAATGTTAAGTTACGATGTAAAAAGGTCACACATACATGTTACAGCAATAGCCAAATGATAACTAGGAGTTTCTGAGGTTGCTAGGCAAATGGTAGTTAAGTTAAAGAGCTATCATAAGTCACATATTAAGAAACAAAGATGTCACAGCCAAAAAGCCATCAGGGAGACAATAGATACCCATAGAAATATGGCAGTGAAAGGAAGTAGGATTTTGTTTTTTGGTTTGTTTTGTTGTTGTTGTTGTTGATCTTTGGGTTTGTTTTTGTGGGTTTTATTTTTATCTTTTTGTTAATATTAAAAAAAATTGCCAGTATTCAGTGGAGTTTTATTAACTATACTCACATACTGTACATTTGATCTCCAGAACATTCCTCTGTAGAACTCTGTAGAAAACTAGACCCTTTAACAGCCTCTTCCCAGACCCTGGCAAAAAGCATGCCACTTTGAGCTTTTGTACCCTTTCTCTTTCTGGCCTGGTATATTTCTGTTAGCCTAGTACTCTAGATATAGCCATATTGTCAACAAAGTGTCTGAAAACAAGGTTTTCTTTTTCTTTCTTTCTTTCTTTCTTTCTTTCTTTCTTTCTTTCTTTCTTTCCTTCCTTCTTTCACTTTTTCTTTTTTCCTTCCTTCCCTTTTTCCTTCTTTTCTTCTTCCCTGCATACTTTCCTTTTCTTTCTTCTTTCTTCCCATGTTTTTTTAGGCTAGGGTCAGATGAAAGGGTAAGGGACCTCTCCTATCAGTGGACTGGGGGAGGGGTAGGAGAGGAGAAGATGGAGGGAGAGCAGGATTGGATTGGGAGGAGATGCAAGAGGGGGCTACAGCTGGAATAAAAAGTGAATAAATTGTAATTTTAAAAAATAAATATTTTTTATAAATCATTCACTTTATATCCTGATTGTAGACCCACCCTCCTCTCTTCCACCCACCCTTCCTCTTCCCCCTTAATCCTCTCCCCTAGTCCTCAGGAAGGTGGAACCCTCCTCCCCTACTATCTGACCCTAGCCTATCAAGTCTCATTAGGGCTGACTGCATCCTCTTCCTCTGTGGTCTGGCAAAACCCCTCCATTTCCCCTGCAAGACCAGGTGGAAGTGATCAAAGAGCAGGCAACAGTCCATGTCAGAGACAGTCCCTGCTCCCCTTACTATGGAACAAACATGGAGACTGAGCTGCCTATCAGCTACTTAAGAGCAAGGGATCGAAGTCCTCTCCATGCATGCTCCTTGGTTGATGCATATGTCTCTGCAGGCCCTCATGGGCCCATATTTGCTGGCTCTGTTGGTCTTCTTATGGAGCTCCTGTCTCCTCTGGGTCCTTCTATTCTGCCACTCTTTCTTAAGACTCCCTGAGCTCTGCCCAGAGTTTGGCTGTGAGTCTTACAATCTACTTCAGCAAATTCTTTCAATCTAGTCTGAAAGTAAACAGGTGAAATTATGGGGGCCATCCAAAGCTGCTCTGCCAAACAAAATACACACAGATGAAGCTTGGATAAATGTGGCTAGGTCCCAACAAAGTTTATATATAAAAAGAGGTAGGGAAATACATTTGGCTTAAGAGTCATAATTAAAGCTGAGCCTTGCTTTATTTGCATTCATCAGAATAAAAATCAGCACAAAGGTCCTTTTATTTCCACTGTCCAATCTCCTCTGAAATCACTTTCTGTTTTGCAGAAGATAAGAATGAGACTCAAATAAGGGAAATACCTTGTCTAACATCACATGGATAACTTATTAAATTATTTAAAAAAAATACTCCATTCTAACCGATGGCCTCAGTGGAGGTTCAGGAGCTGTCTTCCCTACTTCAGCATGAGGGGAAGTGGATAGTAGGAGGGATGTTTTCTTAACATTCTTCAGCAGTCTCCCAGAGCCTTCCACTAGACCAAAACGGACAAGGTCCTCCTGCTGTTTTGCATCCTTAACAGAAGGAAGGTAGGTGGGGACCAATTGGCTTCTAAGTGCTGCTGAAGACTTACCAATATTAATCTCATCATCTGTCAGTGTGTCCCCGATGAAATCAAACTGAAATGACTGCAGTGTCTGGGAAAATTTCTGGACCGCAGAAGAATAATCTGGGGGAAAAAATGAAAGGAAAATAGAGATAGTCAGCACCACTATCCTTTCAGCAAGATTGGCCTTACAGTTAACACCTGGGGGACCTGAAGGGAGGGAAACAAAGGGACATCTCACAAGTAGTAGCTTTTATCCAAGGAAGTTAATGAATTTTAATCAGTACTTTCAAAACAAAGTCTTAGCAAATGAAACAGTCATTTATAGAAGTCCTGAAGTTACTAGAGACTGCAGAGACTGATGCATTAACCAAAGACCATGGATAGAGAGGACCTTGATGCCCTGCTCAGATGTAGCCTATAGACAGCTCAGTCTCCATGTGGGTTCCCTAATAAGGGGAAAAGAGACAGTCTCTGACATAAATCAGTTGCCTGCTCATGGCTCTTCCTTACTGACTTACATGCTTATACAAAGTGTTAAAGGAACATAGGTAGCCAACTCTTACAATAGGTTTTATTATACACAGCCACACAAATCTTTCAAGCACACATATAAGGTACTTTGAACATATCTCCCATATCCTTCTGCCTCCCGATGCTTCTCCCATTATTCCACTTTGATCCACACACAGTTTCACTTCTGTTTTCATCTCATCAGCATCTATGTGATTTTAAGAACCCATAACATCTGGGACACACAAATGAGAGGACACGTGATATTTTTTTTTCTTTGGTGACTGAATTAATACACCTAATGATATTGTCTCTGTTTGCATCACAAGTGATATAACTTAAGATATCATTCCAGAACGCAGTGATTAAAAAATCACCAAAATAAATTTGAAGACAAAAAGTTGCCAATCATGACAGCACCCAGACACCTGAGACAGGAGGATCATATAAGGTCAAGACCAGAGATAGAGCAAGACCCTACATAGCTAACAAATGAACAAATTAATAAGAAAGTTAATGAAATGATATTATTTCAAAGCCTCAGGTTTCTATCTGATTTATTCGTGGAAATTTGAAATACAAACAAAGCCAATATATCAGTTTTTACAAAGCAGCACTACAATGACCTAAGCAATCAACAATGCCTGTAGTCAAGGCAGGGATAACTAACGTTTCAGAAGTCACAATGAGGTAAAACACGAGGTGTCTATCTCAAATTACAAATAAAATGTCAGGCTGTCCTTACTGTTTCCTACCTGTAATGAACCATTCTCTCAGAACCTAGGGCATATACTTATGAATCTGGCCTAAACACCCTGACCTTGTCCACAAACACCCGGCTCCTGGGCCCAAGTTGGTGAATCTATCGCCAGAATACACTGAAGAATCTGATTGAGTAGAGGACTTTCTCTATGGATTATTCAGCCTATAGCTTTTCAAGCTCTGCAGAATTCCACCTGAACACGGAAAAGTTTAAATCTTGCTTGACAGTAAGTAAAGAAAGTTCCTTGTGATGTGAAAAATCTTTGTAACTGCATCAGAAAATCTGGCAACTGCATCTGGGATCTGCAAGAATATGTATTCACTTTAAGAAGTCAAGAGCAGGGCTGGAGAGATGGCTCAGAGATTAAGAGCACTGACTGTTCTTTCAAAGGTCCTGAGTTCAATTCCCAACAATCAAATGGTGGTGGCCACTTCTGGTGTTCTGGCCTACATGCAAAGAGAACACTGTATACATAATAAATGTATACATTTATTATTTATCTTTTTATTAAGATTTATTAAATAAATAAATAAATCTTTAAATATTTAAATAAATTAAATAAATCTTAATAAAAAGTCAACGGGGCAGCATAGAATACAGTTCATTTAGCATTACTACTGCCCAATGTGCAAGATGAATGTCTGCTATGGAACACAGAGCAATAACATCTGAACATGCTCCTGACATTCAATAATGAGTTCCTAGCTGATAAATGTGGCTTAATTTCTCTCTCTCTCTCTCTCTCTCTCTCTCTCTCTCTCTCTCTCGTCTCTCTTCTCTCGCTCTGTCTGTCTCCTGTTTGTATTTGGTATAAACTATCTATGGCAAGAACAAGGGGCCAAATGCTTTCCAGATGAAGTATTTTCCTATTTCAATAACACGGAACAGTGATGGAGTTTGAAATTTTGCCTAGCATTTCATCAAACCCTAAGGTAAGAGGGGTATTGGAAACAGAGAGGAAAAAGGACAGTGTGATAGGAAAGAGAGGCAGAAGGAAGGGAGGGAGAGAGAGTGTGACTGCTAGTTGAAAAGTAACTTCTTGTTGGAGTATCAAAATGTTCTAAAATTGAGTGTTGTAATGCTTGTAAAATTTTGTGAATACACTTAAATCCATGGAATCACACAATTGTAATGGGTATGTTGTTGTGTATGAATTCTATCTAAATATTTGTATACTGCATTTTTTTACAGCTACTTCTACGTTTTTACAGATTTCTCTAACCTCTCAGCAAAGTGGATTTTTTTGTTACCATTTTGCTCTTTGTTATATGGCTACTGATTTAGTTGGGATACTTTAATTGAGACGGGTACATCTAAAATTCAAGAGACAAAACGACTCAGTTTTTCTGAGAAAGCATACTATTCTGAGAGCTGAGCAATAAGCTGCAAGTATTAGTTACTTATATTAAAAGTAATTTGCCAGGCACAGTGGCACATGCCTGTAATCCCAGTACTCAGGGAGGCAGAGGCAGGCAGATCTCTGAGTTCCAGGCCATCTTGGTCTACAAAGGGAGTCCAAGACAGCCAAATCTACACAGGGAAACCCTGTCTCAAAAAAAAAAAAAAAAAAAAAAGAAAAAGAAAGTAAGAAAGAAAATAGAAAAAAATAATTTAGGGCTGAAGATGTGGCTTGGTGGTAAAACACATGCCTAACATGCCCAAATTACATTTTGGCCATGCATGGAGGTACACATGTTTAATCCCAGCACTCTGGAAGTAGTGGCAGACAATCCCTATGAGTTTGAGGCCAGCCTCGTTTAATATGGCACACTACAGACCAGCCAGTTCTGTACAGGATAGACAGTGAGACTACCTCAGGCTTTAAAAAATATGGATTTTTGTAGACTAGGTATTTACACATTACTGCAATCCTTGTGCTCAGGACGCAGGAACTCAAATGCTACATTGACAGATGGCAGACAAACTGCTGTCAGTTGTCAGCTCATATAGGCAAGGGAGAATCAAGCCTGCCAGGATATGGGGCTGAAGATTCAGATTCTGCTGGGTCTTAATGCCTGTTGTTTTGGCCTGTCATCTCTAGAGCCATTTTCCTCTGGTTAACATAAAACATGTTGCCCCACCATCACTGCCTTAAAACTGTTTTGCCCCACATTGCTCTGCTTTTGTTTCTGGCACATGGCACCCTGGGTGCCCTTGCTTTTGCCTTCACCTTTCAGATACAACAGAAGAAGTTTAAGAATACATCAGCTTCTGAGTTCTTTTAAATGTCTATTTTTATTGTTGTTTTATTCTCTACCTTGCAGAGACTTAAATCCAAATTTATAAGAGATAAATCATAAGAGCCTCTCCCAATCCAGATAGCCCTCTTTCAATAAATTTTTTAAAGTATTTTCATAAGTGATTATGGTGCTTGCTTCCTACCTAAATTTAAAAAAAAATGATATACTATAAACTTACATGAGATCAGGGAGGCCTCTTCCTATTTCATCTAGAATAATATACCCCTGCCCTATCCCTTCTGGGACCTCCAGGGAACTCTCAGCAAGAATGTCAGGCCAAGGGCCTGGTACCATCTCATTAGCTATCACGTGTTCAGACTAATTGAGACAAGCTGGGGTCCAACTCCTCTCTGCATGAAGCAAGAGGTTACTTTATTGTATGTCACTACAAACAACAGGCACTTCAGCACTGTGTAGCTTTTTTTTTAAGTCCTATCTCTTCAGCTTCAGGTGCTCCTCACCTTGATCTGTCCTACAGATAAGGTTAGAAGGGAACTAGCCTCTATCTTTTAAAAAAGCTTTTCACCTTGATCTGTACTACAGAAAACGTTAAAAGAAAGCTGATATACTTCTCTGGATAACCCCTGGCTTGCCTCCTGTATAACTGGAACAAGTTAAACCCTCAAATGCTCAGGAAGGTAATTTTAGTCTTTTTCCCAAACCTTGAAGCTTTTCTAAAAGCAAATTAAAAAGGTCCACTAAAATTCTTTATGTAGTTTTTAAGGTCAAAGATCAACAATTATAAGGACTAGCTAAAACGTATGTCTAACCAAAGCTCATTTATCCGAATGGTATATCTAAGTGGTCTTCTGGGTGTTCAGTGACTATGCTTGGAGGCCTGTACTGATGTAGTTAGAAGGATTAAACAGGAAATATTTTCCCTCTTGTCCTCCAAGGTCAACTAGACTAGATCCCAGGGGACTGTGGAGCATCTTTTAAAATATTCCGTAACCAGGGGAGGCCATGGATATCCCACCTAACCAATGTCCAGTCTACAAAAAGAAAGGTCAACATGGAGAAAAATTTCCTTCTTGCCTCCAAGTAAAACAATGGTCAAGTAAGGCCTTGTTTTATACTGACACAGGTAGACTAACTGGTTAACAATAAAAAGACTGGGAGCCAGAGATTCCACCCAGTCCAAAGTGACCCCTGAGGACCAGTGGGCGAGTTATTCAACTGGCCTTAACAGTTAAAATAAAAAAGTAATTTTCACAACCTACATCACCTGAAACACTCAGCAGAAAAGAATAACCAGAATTAAGATTATCAGTATGCTTCTTTAACAGTCCAAAGGATTGCCTACATTCCTCAGACATTATTATTTCTCACCTATGATTCTCAAAACTTCAATATATCCCTTTACACTGTAATCCTTGGGACACTGCTATATAATCCTATTACAAAAAATAAAAAAAAAATGGATTCCATTTCTCCTTTAAGTTTTCAACTAGATACTGACTTTAACTAACTTCTACAATGTTTCCAAGCATTGTTCCTTACACAGAAGTCTGATAACAAAGAGCTGTTTATACAGTTAATTCTCTTCCTACAGGGCTCTGGTACTCAGTCCAGCAAGCCACATGATTACATTTCACTTTACTAAACAA